CAGTGACAGAGCTTCCAGCATCGCAGCAAGACACGGGCCACCACAGCACATACACTGACAGAAAAGGGCGAGGCGGGGAAGAGCACATCTTCTTTCTCTCTACTGGGGGACGTCCTATGTATTCCTGACATTGACTATTCATCGGCAAGGTCTAACTTATTTGCAAGTTCAGGTTGAAGCGGAAAAGAGTAAAACAAGTCCACGAGAGCCAAATTACAACCTTGTGTCTAACCAACCTGAATTTTCAGAACATCTCAAGAACAAATATAGGACATTGGACACTAATGACCAAACACCTGATGACCTGTGGGAGAACATCAAGAACATCAAATGTGAGGAGAACAAAAGGTCATTGAAAGGTCAGGGAAGAAAGAAAAGATCAAAGTGGATGTTAGTAGAGACTGAAACTTGCTCTTAATCGCAGATTAGCAAATGGACAGAAAAAATGTCAAAGACCTGAACAGAACATTTCAAAGGGCAGCTCTAGAAGACAAAGAAAAATACTGCAATGAAATGTGCAAAGATCTAGAGTTAGAAGACCAAAAGGGAAGAACATGCTCAGCATATCTTCAACTGAAAGAATTCAAAGACAAAAATTCAAGCCCCAAGCTGCAACACTGAAAGATTCTATGGGTGAAATATTGAATGATGCAGGAAGCGTTAAAAGAAGATGGAAAGAATACAGAATCACTGTATCAAAAAGAACGTTCGACATTCAACCATTTCAAGAGGTAGCATGGGAATAAGAACCAGTGGCGCCGAACGAAGAAAGAAGTTCAAGCTGCACTGAAAGATTTAGCCAAAAACAAAACTCTAAGAATTAATGGAATACCCACTGAAACAGGCTGATGGAGCACTGGAAGCACTTATTGGTCCATGCCAGCTACTTGGCCAAGTGACTGGAAGAGGTCTATATGTGTGCCCTTTCCAAAGAACGGTGTGTTAGTCTGTGTGGACTAGAGAAACAAATACATAGACACTCATATGCATGTAAGAAAGAGCTTCATATACAAGAGCAGTTGAATATTGAGAGAACATCCCAGCCCAGCCAAGATCAAGTCCATAGTCCGATATTAGCCCATATGTCCCATACCAATCTATAAAGTCCTCTTCAGACTCATGAAACACATGCAATAACACAGAATGCAGGAGGATCACAGGCCTGTCTTGTGAATCCAGTGGCATTGTAAGCATCTCAGCACTGGCAGGGGTCTCTACATGGCTTCTCCAGCTCCAGAGGTCTGGTTGCCTCAGGGTAAGTCCATGTGGCTTCTCCTCAGGGATGTCTTGCAGGAAGTGAGCTGAGAGAAAGAGAGTCTCTCCCACCTCCAAGGAGGAAAAGCAGGAATTCCCAGAATCCTCAGGGGAAGGCCATGCCCACACAGAGGCCTCATTGGCTGTGACCCAATTGACAGACTAGATTCCACCCCTTCACTCTTAATCCTCTTAAGTCCCAAATGGACACCAGACTATGTAACTAGCACAAATGGTGACCCCCTAAAATGCACAGGTTATAGAACAGTATCATTGATATATCATGCAAGTAGAATTGTGCTAAAGATCATTCAACAACAGTTGTAGCAGAACATTGACAGAAACTTAGGCCAGATTCACAAGAGGTCGCAGAACAATTGCTGATTTCAGATGGATCTTGGCTAAAAGCAGAGAATACTAGAAAGAAGTGTACTTGTGTTTTATGGATTATGCCAAGGCATTTGACTGTGTGGATCATAACATATTATAGATGGCCTTGAGAAGAATGAGATTTCTAGAACACGTCCTTGTGTTCATGTGAAACTTGTACATAGTTCAAGAGGCAACTGTGCAAACGGAAGGGGGCTATACTGCATGGTTTAAAGTCAGGAAAGGTGTGCACTGGGGTTGTATCCTCTCGCTCTACTTTTTCAATCTGTACACTGAGCAAATCATCAGAGCAGCTGGGTTATAGAAAGCAGAATGCAGCATCAGGATTGGAGGGAGGCTTCTTAACAACCTGGGCTATGCAGATGACACAACCTGGCTTCCTGAAATTGAGGAGGACCGAGCACTTGCTGATGAAGATCAAGGATTGCAGCCTTCGGTGTAGATGACAACTCAGTATAAAGAAAACCACAATCCTCACAACTGGACCAATAGGCAACATCATGATAATGGAGAGATGATGGAAGTTATCAAGAATTTTGTCTTGCGTGGGTCCACAATCAGTGCTCATGGAAGCAGCAGTCAGATCAAAAGTGGTTACACTAGGTAAACCTGCTGCCCGAGACCCAGTAGTGGAATTCAGCCTGCTTGCACTAGTTCAGCAGAACTGATACTTAATTTTTGTTGACTTCTGGCATACTGGCTGTGAAAATGGTACTTGTAGTCAGGGTTCTTTATAAGGTGGGTGGCTGGAAATAATTTTTTTTAATTACATGTCCTACTCTTTTTGAACGTTCATCTGTGCGACAAGGTATTTTAAGTACCTGTAGTAATGCTCATTCTACAGGTAAGAAAAATTAGACAACTATGCTTGGAATATTTATTCATTTCCTAAAACTAGTCATACTTTTGATGGAATACTACCTTTTATTCTTTCGTGTGTGTTACTTCAGTAAACAAACATGTAATGGGAAGAGACAAAGTGCCACTTCGAGAGGGTCATGCTGTCATTCATTTCAGCTTCATGTGCCCCGATCCCCAGGAGATTGTATGAACAAATTATGCAGTTCCCTAAAATGTGCAAAGAGCTGAAAATATGGTCAGAACAATTGCTGTGAGCCCAGCAGAAGCAGAAAGGGGTTTTTCAAAGATGAACACAATAGGTTCAGAGAAGGAAAGTCACTTCTCTGTAATGTGTCAAACACAGGGACTATGATCTCATCCTATTCCTACAGTGAAAAGATGGGTAAGCAAAATCACACAGCTGATGATGCTTGGATGAAAGTGATGAATATTGGAAGTGGGGACACCAATCAAGAAGCAATATGGAGATGTTTTAAATAACTATTAAAAATAGTTTAAAACTTTAAAAAATCAGGTATTACTATTTTTATATTAATGTTTTAAAAGTCTTATAATCTAGTTTCACAAACCTCTTTCATTTTTCTTATTTAAGTATTAATTGTATGAAATCATAAACTACTTTTTGGTGTATCTATCTATATCTATATATTTAAAATGATCCTTAGGGCAGCAAATTGGTTGTAAAATAAAGTATTGAAAAGCAAGGCGGTTACTTTGAGGACGAAGAGGCACCTGACCCAAACCATGGTAGTTTCAATGGCCTCATATATGTGTGAAAGTTGGACACTGGATAAGGAAGACCAAAGAAGAGTCGATGCACTTGGATTGTGGTGATGGCCAAGGATATTGACACTCACGGACTGCTGAAAGGACAGCCAATCTCTCTGGGAAGGAATTCAGACATTTAGCTGATGATCCACACAGTTGAACACACTTGCATGTGTTACACAAGTCAGCAGCTTTCTTGTATTCTCTGCTTTCAGCCAAGAGCTAGCTGACATCAGTAATGACATCGCTCGGTCCATGTTATCTGGTGACTCTGGCTTGAATTGTTGGCAGTTCTCTGTAGATGTACTGCTACAACCCCCTTTGAATTACCTTCAGCAGAATTTTACTTGCATGTAATATTGATATGATTGAATACTTACTGCATTCTGTTGGATCGCTCTTCTTTGGCACAAATTTATATCTCTTATAGTCAGTTGGCCAGATAACTGTCTTCCAGATTTGGGGGCATAGTCTACTGAGTGCGTTCAGTGCTCCATCAGCTTGTTGAGACATTTCAATAGGTATTTCATCAACTCCTGGAGCCTTGTATTATTATTATTATTGCTAAAATCTTTAATACAGCTTAAAGTTCTTCCTGCAGTAGCATTGGCTGTAGACCATATGCTATCTCTTGGTTCAAAACCTTTTTGTCTTCCTTTCCCCGCCTTTGATGCTTCCAGCATCCTTCTACATTTTGCCCCCAGTATCCTTCAGGATTGCAACTTGCGTCTCATTGAAAAGGAAAAACTTACTTATAAATTGTTCTTCCTCCCCTACCCCCTCCCTCCCTCATGAACCCTTGATAATTTTTTTTTTTTCATGTCTTACACCGCCTACTTCTCTCTTCACCCACTTTTCTGTTGTTTGTCCCCCTGGGAGGGGGTTATATGTAGATCATTGTGATCAGTTCCCCCTTTCTGCCCCACCTTCCCCTTCCCCTCCTGGTATCGCTGCTCTCAGTAGTCATCCTGAGGGGTTTATTTGTCCTGGATTCCCTGTGTTTCGAGCTCTTTTCTGTATCCGTGTGCATCTAAATTGTTCTTAAGAAGGACCTGACAGCACTTGTGTCACTAGCAATATTGTGCTGAGATTAGACAAACACCAACAAAAACCCCAGACCCACTGCCTCGATGTGCTGCTCACAGTGACCCTCCATGCAGTTTCCAAGGTGATCGGTCTTACAGGAGCAGAGTGCCTCATTTTCCTCCCCCAGAATAGCTGGTGGGTTTGAACCCTGCAGTTGGCAGCCCAGCGCTTACTTGACAGGGCTGCCAGGACTCTCTGTCTGCCACCCAGTCTGGCTGATAGCCAGAGAACAGTCCTGTGGATTATATTCTACTCCCGGTCACTCTTCTCCAAAACTCAGGGACCTCTGACAGCAATTTTATGGCCAGCCTATACCGTGTGCAGTCATAGCCCTTATGTGAGATTCCGTGCTAACGGGACACCTGGGTTGTTTGCAGCTGTTCAGCGATGGTAAACAACGCTCCTGGCACCCAGAGGCAAGAGATTCTCCTAGGTATAGGCCTAGAAATAGAATTGCTGGGTTGCAGGATGTATATGCCCACCTTCTTTGCTTAGAAAATGCCCATTTGTTTTCCGAAGGGGTGTGCCAATTTTCATGACTTCAATGATGGATAGTCCAAGCACGTAGAATGTTTCCCATGACCCCATCAATAGGTAGTGACAGAACAAACTAGGGGAGCAAATGCTATTGGGCCTCTCACCTCGGCCCGGGCCTCATAGCCACAGGCGGTTGCAGACACCGCGAGGGCAGCTTTGCTCTGGACGACGGTGTTGGCCGAATGCAGGGGGCCGATGATGGCTTGCATGATGTTGTGGCTCTGTATGCTCACACGCAGGGCCTCCTGCATCGCCATGTTCGTCAGCACCGTCGCCGCGTTTGCAATGGCCCCGTCTCGTTTACTAGACAGAGTGTTTATTAACGGGTCAATACCGTCGGCTTCGGCAGCGGCACTGGGTAAATGAAGGAGAAATGGCTGTAATTAATCTGAGTTCAGAAAGGCATCGTTGGAGCAAGGAATTCAGCTTATAAAAATGAACGGGATGATGGATATGATTCTAGAAGTAAATTAATTTGCAGTGTGGTGAACCCAGAGCTGAGAAGCGAGCGACGTGGGGGTCTGGGAACATTGCAGGAATGGCTGAATTTAATGCAAACACTTATGCTGCCTTTGACAGCGTTTGATCACATGATAAATGTACATTCTTAGACTCTCTGGGTCAGCCACTACCTGGGACATTGTCTCCTGAGAAATCCTGTTATAAGATGTCTCCCTCATAGGAAAGGGGGCTTTAAATTGGAGGAATGAGGGAGCTTGGGAACTTCTGATTTAAGTTACAATTCTTCAGTCCATCTTCCTCCCTTTCACATTGGGTTGTTAACTGCAGGCAGACACCGCAGATCGCTTAGCATGTGAACGTTGTGTTTACAAGTTAAACTTCAAAGATCAAAGTCATGATTATTGAGATAGATAATGTTAGCCATGTAAGCCTCTTCACTTGTTAAATTTCTTATTTCTAACATGAGAAGACTACAGTTAATCGGTTGATACATTAATTATTTTTACAGCATTAGAAAGCTTAATCTCCTTTGTACCTCCTAGAATTCTTGTTTGCTAATGATTTCAACAACTCATAAAATAATAATAATAATAATAATCAGATCATATTAACGAGTGCGAGACCATTTAATTCTGTTTTCTAATGTCTGGAATTATTTCAAATCAGAGAGAATGCAGGCTATCAGGTATGCAGAACACGTTGATCCTGTGTCAAGCATCCATTCAAATAATATCACAGCCACGTGGTTTAGAGGTAAACGAGACAATAAAAACATAAGTATTCCAGGTGCTGATGATATGAATGCTACTTTTAAAATGATAGTTGACCCGTTTTTGCACTTAGAGTTGTAGTAATAACCCAAATGGAAACACCGAGAAAACAAATAAGGCTTTATGACGAAGATCGGCAACCTGCATTCTGATGCGTTTATGTGCACTTGCTGCTGCTGAACATTTTAATTTTTAAATTTGCTGCTGATCGCAGAAATACTGACACTCTTGAGGAAAGGACAACCCCCCCCCCCCCAGAGAACAGATAAGAAATAAAACTTTGATAAGGAGATTGGCAGCCCTTGCGGTGAAGGCAGGGAGTGGAACTTCGGAGCAAGCCTGAACAGGCATCGTTGTTCTGAGAGGCCATTGAATTGGGTCTGAGCCATAGCCCCTCGACATACAACAGAAAAGACCCCCCATCGGGCCACCCTCACAATCATCCCTATGATCGAACCCACGCTTGCAGCCACTGTGTCAGTCCATCTTGTTGAGGAGCTTCCTCTTTGCACGGCCCCTCCACTTGACCGAGCGTGATGTCCTTCTCCAGGGACTGGTCTCTCCTGACTGACGTGTCCCAAGTCGAGGAAGCGTCCCCGGAGCAGGAAAGGAAGGCCTCCCACGCGAGCTTACTTAGATCGCCCACCAAACGCACCATGTGGATCCCAAGGCGGAGGCAGGGTCTCCTGCCATGTCTACATAAACGCGGGCCCTGGGGTGCATGTCGCCCTTTTTTGGGTGGTATCTCCCACTCTTCCTTTGGGAAGGTACCCCTGAAAATTAACTTTCGGTTTGATGACCATGAAAACAAAGTCTAGCTGGCTGAAAATGTTGGGAAAAAGGTCTTGCATCTACATATGATACCAGTGTTTCCTTTCCTTTCCTCTGGGTGTGTGTGTGTGTGTGTGTGTGTGTGTCATAAACACTCAACGGATAATTTCACTTCTCAGTTTTTCTACCCCATGGTAGTTATTTATACCTGTTGTTCATTGTTATGCTGATGGGTGTCATGTGGGTGGATGAAGAAGGGAAATTTTGTAGGCTCCAATAGATTAGTTTAAGCCTTAAACTTTAAGGAATCTTCGTGGTGCTGTCCAGTAAGCATTGAACACAAGGTTGGTAGTTCAAACCCACGCGCCGCTCTGCAGGAGAAAAACGCGATGCTATCAGCTTGTCTTCGAGATTTAGAGCTTCTGAAACCCTATGTAGCATTGCTATGAGTTGGAATTAACTCGATGTTGGTCGGTGGGGTTTTTAGGAATGTATCGGTTTAGGAGCCTGTATAGCAGGAGTTGGGGATTAGATACTCATCCAGAGTTCGGCACTTCATACCCACTCAGTGGCTCAAAGTAGAAAGGTGTGGCAGTCTGCTTCCATCAGCATCACAGGCAAGGGAACACTTTGCAGCTACTGTACTCTGTCAAGGGGGGGGGGGCAACTCCACACTGCAGCTAACAATGACAATATATTAGCTTACCAAAAACTTGTCACATTTTCACTTAGAGTTCAAGTTGTTGTGGGGTGGGAATACAAACAAACATATATATTTAAAAAAACACACTGACAAGGATTATTCTCAATGATGCACATTTTTAGTGAATGCATGTAGATCTCAGCCTATTCACAAATATCTTTTTTATTTTTTAGACACGTAGAGTCAGTCCCCCTAAATCAAATGCTTGTTTTGTTAGCCATAAGAAACATGCTTTGACTAACATGCACCGTTCTTTTGCCACTTGGTGATTTCCCCCTTGGCAATTTTTCCCCTTCCAAAACACTACAGATAAGAAAGAAAGAGGTGTGTGTGTGTGTGTGTGTGTGTGTGTGTGTGTTTCAGTGGCATCCATGAAGGAAATGCATACTGATAACTAAATTATCTATCTATCTATCTATCTATCTATCTATCTATCTATCTATCTATCTATCTACATCTGCACTCCATTCTTTTAGATTCCCCCTTGTATGAACGCCTGAGTCACAATTCTACATCGGCGTGCCTGCATGCTCAATGGTCGGCATCTCTGCTGCAGTCTCTTCCTTCCTCCTGTGCAAAGGCGCATTCCAGCTCAGCTCATTTATACCTTGCTCATCTTCTGAGCCTTTCTTGGCTCTTAATGGAGGCAGTAAAGGGAAGTACATAAAAACCTGCTTTAAAAAAAACCCCGAAGATGAGTACACAGCGGAATAGGGCGTTTACTAAATTGGACATAACTGCCAGCACAGACGACAAATCATATGGGCACAGCTGGGAAGAAGAACCTGCATTATCGTGTACGGATCTGCCCGTAACTCGTGATGTGCAGATCCGTTGAAGTGCCAACAGCCTCGCTGAGAAGAAATCGATGCAGTAAGAAAAATCAGGATATTATTCTCATCTTAAACACACACCCACAAAAGAACACCCTTCATTTATAAAGAGTACGGGGTTGGTACATTTTAAAAAGCGCGATATTAATTTTGTTCCTTTCCGCCCCAAGGCAATCTGTCTTTTGTTCCCCCCTCCCTCGAACATGCGCACAGGCTGAAGCCTGTCATATTTTGAAAGCACGTTGCAGTTTCTGAGCTAGTGTCACATTATCCAAAGGATTGGGACAGAAGTCAGACGGCTTTGTTATAAAATCCCAAGCCATCAGGCCATATGCCATCACAATAATTTGAAAATAAATTCTGATATTTACCATCATTAGCCTCCATTCAGTTGGATTTTCATCAAGTAAGAGTCTCAAACGTGACTTGTGTAAAAGCACAAACCAAATATGGGATGCGTGCAAGCATCTGTTGACATCATTGGGCATACATATGTGCATAGAGGTGACGTTTGACAAGTGGTGCATGCCGCCCAACCTTTTCCCAGCGCCTGCCAGCTCTCTCCATCTTCCTGAAGCCCCTCTGCCTTTCCCGTGCCTGCATCCAGTTCGACCCAACACCTTCTCCTGTGGATGCATACAAACACTCCCCTATCCACGTCTCATTCTTTCTTCACCCTCTTGCGAAACTGATCTTTTACATTCAAACCTAAGGACACCGCTCTGCTACTTAAAGCTCCCTGGTTCCTCTTTTCTCAGGATAAGCCCCAAATCTCTCACCTGGCCTACAAGGTCCGCTGTGAACAGAGCTTCCTCCCTCATCAGCCTCAGGTACCTTCCAGTGCTTTGTTTTATGCCATGCCTCTCTCTTCCTGTTGTTGATAAAGAGCACTCAGCCCGGCACTAAGACCCTTCATGCCTATAGCAGAAATTCAGTTACGCAGTTGGCCGTCGAATGATGACTCACTGAAAATGCTATGCGACCTCGCGCATGGGAGGCCTGGCGGCATAGTGGGTTCTATGTGGAGTTGCTAACCTTAAGGTCAGTAGTTCGAAAGCACCAGCTGCTCCACTGGAGAAAGACGAGGCTTTCTACCACGGGAATAAAGGCTTAGGAACCAGAATCAACTAGCTGGAAGAGAGTTTGAGTGGAGGTTTGGGCTTTGGACCTTGTGGTCCTGAGACTTTGCTGTGCTTGGTCTTCTTCTCCAAACCGCTGCTCCCGATGCCTCCCACACTTCTGCCTGAAGAACTCTGGTTCGCCCTTCAAAACCTGCTCATCAAGCCCTTCTGCGGTGAAGCCAACCTTGACGATGGATGTTCCTCCTTAATTACTAGGACCCCCCTCCGCTATGCTGGGTCCACAACTGTCCATTTGTGTTAGTCTGGGTGGACTAGAGAAATAAATCCAGAGACACTCCTACATGTGTAAGAGAGAACTTTATATCAAAGAGTAAATGTACATTAAGAAAACATCCCAGCCCAGTCCAGATCAAGTCCATAATGAGTCCGATATTACCCCATAAGTCTGGTTCTAGTCCCTAAATTCCTCTTTGACTCACGCAGCACATGCAATGAGGCTGAGTGTTGGAAGATCACAGGCTGGTGGGTGTAAAGTCCCGAAGATCCAGTGGCGGTGGGAGCATCTCCAGGGCTCTGGCCGCCATCAGTGTGGCTCCAGGTGGCTCTTCAACAGGAAGGTCAAGCAGAGAGAGAGAGTAGTCTCGCCTCCAGGGTGGAAGAGATGCAGGTCCCAGAATCCACAGGAGAAGGCCACGCCCACCAGGAGGCACAGCCTGTGGCCTGACCGACAGGC